TTTGAAAGTGTGAAATGTGTTATTTATTTTAGGTTTTGCTTCAAAACAACTCTGGCATCAAAATAGCATGTATCCCACAGTTGCTGACAAATTATGCCTAATGAATGGTTTTGAATGGAAAATCGATCAAATAAAATGCAATTCGAGTCGGATCCGACCCCTCCTTGGGTTTCCAAGGCAGTATCACTACAGAAGTAGTTTGCCCAACCTGTGCTCCAAGGAGTGGCTGGTGGGTTTGAACTGCCAGCCTTCTGGTTAGCAGTCGTATGCCTTAGGCACTACACCAGCAGGGCTTCTTGCAATTTCTTTAGTAGTTAAAAAAAAAAAAAAAAAAAAGATGGTGCTGCTGATAGGAACGAAGCACTATTTCTTTAGCGCTTACTGTGTGCTGGGCACTGAGGTACCTCCCCATAGGCTGTTGGAGCACAATGCAGTAGCTGGTGAAAGGCGAGATCAGAACCCTGGGTTCTGACCCATCTCAGACCATCCAACACACTACCGTGTAACAGAAATGTCTTTGATAATGAAGATGCCCTGTCTACATTGCCCGATACAGTAGCCACTAAATCATGTGTGACTACTGAGCACTACTGAACGTGGCTAGTTCTACTGAAGAAGTGAGTGTTGATTTCCGTTTTAATTAATTTACGTTGGAGTAGCCATATGTGGCTAGTAGGGATGTTGTTGTTGTTATGTGCCATCAAGTCGGACCCGACTCACAGTGACCCCCTCCTTGGGTTTCCGAGGCAGTATCACTATGGAAGTAGATTGCCCAGTCTTCCTTTCGAGGAGTGGCTGGTAGGTTTGAACTGCCAGCCTTCTGGTTAGCAGTCAAGTGCTACACTACTAGAGCTCCTCTAATACAGGTGAGTCTTTTTTGAGACACAAGTTACCGGTAACGGAAACCCACTCAAGGCTCTTGGGACTCAGCAGAAGAGCAGAGGGGGCCTTGGGAGGGATTTGAGCTACTGAGGCCTGATTTGCCACTTTAAAAGGAGTTGTGGGGCTTGTACCCCCAGAAAAGGATAACAGTCAGTGTGGTTATGAGCCGACTCTGAAGACTGACTGGGTTCTGAGTCCCCTCTATCACTTGTACGCTGTGTAGCTTTTGCAAAGTTATTTAACCTTTTAGCTGCAGCTTCCCCAGGTATGAAATGGGGACACTAACAGCACCTGCGGGATGTGATGGGTCAGTGGGAGAATTCTCACCTCCTTATGCTGAAAGCTCAGGTTCGATTTCCTGGCCAACGCATCCCATGCATGGCCACCACCCATCTCAGTGGGAGCTGACATGTTGCCATGATGCTGAGCACGTTTCAGCAGAGCTTCCAGACTGAAATGGACCAGGAAGGAAAGTGGGATGTGTACTGAACGTCTGCCAGTGAACACCCTATGGATCACAAGGGGGTGAATTGATCATGGGGCTGGTGTGGGCCTGGCAGTGTTGGGTTTCATTGTTGCCATCAGTCAGCACCAGCTCAATGGCAGTGAACAACAGCACTTACCTTGTACAGTGTGATGATTAAATGGTCCATTGATAGAGCATCTGGAATGAGTTCCTGGCCCACCATGTGACATTAGGGTTTGCTGTGACGACTACCAACTCCTCTTTGCATCCTTCTCTCCACCCCAGCAAATCACCAGGTAACGTGGCACCAAGCAAGAAGCACTCAAGCCCAAGGACCTGATATTTAGGTTAAATTCTGCAGACAAGCTATGGGCAGGTGTCCAAATCCTACCTAATTACAGGCTCTAATACAAGACAGGTCATTGCACTGCCTGCCCCTTATGGTTTCTGCAGAGGCCAAGCAGGAAACAACAGTGAAGCAGGAGATGGAGATGGTGGCCACTGCCTCTCAGCACCTCCCACAGGTGACTATTAAACAGGTATATGGTTGCCATGGTCCTTAGGTGGTACAACCTGTGCTCAACTGCTAACATAAAGGTTGGCGGTTCATAGCCACCCAGCGGTCCCACACAAAAAAGGCCTGGGGATCTGCTTCTATAACGCTTACAGCCAAGAAAACTCTACAGAGCAGTTCTACTAACACACAAAGGGTCACCAGGAGTCAGAACCCACTAGGCGGCAACAGGTCTTGTTTTGTTTGTTTCACTGCTGCTGAGGCAGACTCCACAGCACCTAACAACAGTGCAGACCAAGAGCTGCCAAACTGCATTTTTTTTTTTTCCCAAGACAAGTGCAGATTCTGGGTTCTTCTAGGAAATGTCTTGATTTTTATAGCTGGCAACTTATTCAAAAGAGTTTTGCATTTGTTTTTCAAACAGTGCAAGCTCAATACAACACTGGGGTAGGCGTGATATGCACCCCCAGCCACCAGCATGCATTCTAGCTTCCCCCTGATCCTCGCTAACCGCTTAGGTCTGTTCCCAGCATCTGGCACCCCAAAAGAATTCTCACCTGATCTGCTGAGATCAAGGGGTACAACCTGCAAAGGATGCTTGGTCCAAGTTCGAAAGTGACAGAGGCATTTAGCTTCATGTGCAAAGGACACCTGCTTTGAGCACTGTGCTCTTTTAAAGAATTGACTCATAGCAATCCCTCCTTGGGTTTCCGAGGTGGTATCTCTATAGAAGTAGATTGTCCAATCTTCCTTCTGAGGAGTGGCTGGTGGGTTTGAACCGCCAGCCTTCTGGTTAGCAGTCAAATGCCTTAGGCACTACGCCACCAGAGCTCCCGACTCAGAAAAGGAGAGTGACAATGGGGGCATAACTTGAGTAATGCCATCAGTCACGGAATTGTGTATGCAGAGACTGCTGAACTGGTATACGGTTTGCTGTATATATTTTCGACAACAAAAATTACAGGTCAACTAAAAAGGCAGACGATCTAGAAAGTACCAGGTTTTATTATCTTTTTATCAAAAACTCAGTAACAGACAATAGTGCGAGAGGTGGCTACAGAAGAGGGGCTCACCCCAACAGAGCCTGAGGGTAAGGGCATGGGGAGTGGAAGAGGACCCAGCCAGCTGGGAGCCTGGGGAGTGGTGAAGGGGCTCACTAATGGTATCCAGGTAGACGGGGAGGGTCAAGGAAAGGCATGGCCTGCTCAGGCTAGCCACCAGGCCTCTCCTCTCCAGAGGAGAATCCCAGATGATCCCCCCGCCCCCAGCCCGTCCACCCCAGTGCAGGGAGATGAGGGTCGCTGGAGCTGTGACCCGTTAAGCCAGCTTACTCCTCTAAGCAGTGCTGTTCAATAGATGGAAGTGTTTCGTCAGTACAGTAACCACTGGCCTGTGGGGCAACTAAGCACATAAAATGTAGCTAGCCATAGGCGCTCTGGAATCATAGTACCTAAGGCACTTGACTGCTAACCAGAAGGCTGACAGTTCAAACCTACCAGCCACTCCTTAGAAGGAAGGTTGGGCAATCTACTTCCATAGTGATACCGCCTCAGAAACCCAAGGAGGGGTTGCTATGTGTCAGGTCTGACTCGACGGCCCGTAACAACAGTGTGGCCAAGGGATGAATTTTGAACTTCGTGAGATTTCAACTGATTTACATTTAAATAGCCACGTGTGGCCAGTGGGTACCATACTGGGCAGTGACAATCTAGAGGTGGGAGCAATCAGACCAAGGAATACCAGCTGGGCCCAAAGCAGAAAACAGGAAGAGGGCAGAACTGTCGACCCTCAACTGCTGTAGCTCAATCGGAAAAAGGCACTGGAAACGGGGTAAGAATTAACAGGCAAAAACCCACCCAGCCACACAGAAGCCACTCACTCAACTACCTGGCCGACTTCAAACTAGAACGATCACACTATTTCCTGAAAAAATATATTTATCTATTTTTCTAGAACCCAGGAAGAATAAAAACATATTACAAGAAAAGAGACGTAAATATCCCACTATCCCTGCATAATATTTTGGGATCTGCTAGAAAACTATCTTTAAGCAAAAGCTACTTCTCAGAGGAAGCAGCCTCAGAAAGGGCCAAGGGCAAAGGGCAAGGGCAGGAGAATGTGAAGTTTAAAAAAAAAAAAAAGAGAGAGAGTTTAAAGAGAAGGAGAGGCCCTATCTGAAGCTATAAATAATAAAAAAAAATATTAATAAAAATCATATCCGGCTCTTCTCTCATTTTCGAGAAACAAACAAAAACAAAACAAAAAACCATTAAATACAGACTTAGCACACTCTAGTCCAGGCAGAGAAGGTTCTGCATGAAGGAATGAACCGTTTCAGAAACAAACAAACAAAGCCTACTCAAAATAGTTTACAAATATTCTGCAAACCCATTTCAGTATGAATTTTCAGCTCTTCCCCCTCCCCGCCCCGCCCCTTCCCCAATAAAAAAGGCTGGTTTCCAAAAGTCACTTGAAAGAGCCCAGAACGGCCCTTGTATACCACAGAGAATCCTGTAGTGTGGTCATGAGTCCCCATTGACAGACACATCTCAGGGCACAGATGGTTCTAGTTCCTTCTCTCAGGTCCTGGCAGGGACTGAGAAAGTCTGCTGCTGGGGTACAGTCCTCCAGCCAGGACCCATAAGACTCTCCTTGGCCCTCTGGCTTCTGAGGGCTCTGGGTGGGAAATGATTCCAACTAGGTTCTAAGCTGGTCTTAGGTCCTAGGTCTACACTGGAAGGTTAAGAATGATCCAATCCTCAAGCTGCCTTCAGAAATGCCAAGTTTACCCCCATTTTTCTGCTGGGGCAACTGAGGCCCAGAGAATCGAGAAGAGCCAGGCAGGAACAGGAAGATGATAGCTCATCTCCTGACACTCAAACAGGATCAGAGCTGAGGATACTGCTAAGTCAGAATTAGGCTGCCCTCCCCCTCCCCTCACGTCCACCCTTCCCAGTCCTTCAGCTTCCCTCCCCCCTGCAGTCCAGGCCCCTGCTCGCGGGAGGCTTCACGCGTAGAACTCATTGGTGGGGGCTTTTTTGTAAATGGGCTTCTTGCCCAGGTCGTAACTGCCCTCATCTTTCTTCTTCATGCGGTATACCAGCAGCAGGACCAGGAACGTGGCAAAGAGGGTGCCCACGACGCCACCGACAATCAGAGCTGGAGAGAAAGAGACACGGGAGGGTGAGAGCCACTCAGCAGGGAGGGCCTTGGACTGAACTGTGTCCCCAAAACTCTATGCTGTGATTCCTAACCCCTGTATCTGTGGTTATGTACAATTTGGGAACGGGTTGTCTTCATTATGTCAACAAGGCCGTATCAGTGTAGGGTGTGTTAAGTCAATCTCTTTTGATGTTTAAAAGAGCAGATTAAGCAACCCCAACCCTAACCCATCCCCTAGAGCTGGCACCCTCAATCGGACTTCGAGCCCCCTACACTGAGAAAATAGATTTCTGTGTGTTAAAGCCCCCCCCCCTTGTACTCTTCTGTTCTAACAGCACCAGATAACTAAGACCCCCCTCCCCACTTCCAATCACTTCCCTTCCAACCCTCTACATCCTCACCCTCCCCACCACCTGGGTCAGGCATCTGATGCCTCATTAAATGCTCAGGACCTTATTTATGAGAAGGGACTCTCTAGGCTTGGAGAAGTCGAGTCACTTAAGATCACAAGGCCAGAGTAGCCAAGCCACTGTTCTAATCCAAGTCTGTCCAAGTCCAAAGTCCAGGCTGTCTAGACACCAGGGAGGTTCCGCAGGAGCAGCTTAGCACTAACTGAGCCAGAAAATCGCAGGCTCTGTAAACACCTCCAGACATCCTTACCCTGGTGGTACACTCTAGCCCTTCCTCTGTGCACACACATATCTAACACGGGCCTTCACTTCCATGTACGCACAGGTGTACACTACCATACACACATATACCAAGAACCAAACCAAACTCACTGCCGTCCAGTCAATTCCAACTCATAGCGACCCCACTTTGGGTTTCTGAGGTGGTAAATCTTTACGGAAGTAGACTACTCAGTCTTCCTTCTGTGGAGTGGCCATTGGGTTTGAACCGCCAACCTTCTGGTTAGCAGTCAAATGCCTTAGGCACTACCCCACCAGAGTATGCTGATATAGACACACTATGTTAGAGACGAGTCCCTGGGTGATGGTACAGGCGGTTAGTGCACTCAGTGAGCTGCTACCTGAAAGGCTGGCAGTTCGAGTCTGCCTAGAGAAGCCTCAAAACAAAAGACCTGCTGATCTACGTCCAAAAAGTCAGCTACTGAAGACCCCCTGGAGCACAGGTCTACCCCGGTGCATAGGGAGGGCTCACCGTGAGTCAGAACTGACTCAATGGCAGCTGCTGCTGTTGTCATAAATAATGCTTTACAGTGGTTTATAGTCTCACATTATAGCCCAGCATTAAGGCCGAGTTCTACCTCATCCCCTTACTGGCTGTGTGATCCTGGGCACGTTCCTTCAGCTTTTTCATTGCAAACTGGAAATAATAATCCCTCCCTCAAAGGCCTGTCATGGGATGCAATAAATTAATCCACTTACAGTGCTTAGAAGTGTGCCCACTTCACAGTCTATGCTCGATACTCCTTCACTGTGAGCCTCTGTGGTTTCTATGTGTGTTCCCAGCACCCAGGAAGGAGCCCTGGTGGCACAATGGGTAAGTGCTCAGCTGCTAACCTAAAGATCAGTACTGAGAACCCATTCAGTGGCTCCAGGAAAGAGCAAGCTGGCAGACTGGCTCCAGTGAAGACGACAGCCTCGACAACCTTATGGGGCAGTTCTTCTCTGTCCCATGCAGCAGCTATGAGAGGCTTTCAAAGCCAACAACAGCGGCACCCTGTCTTGGGCTCGGCACAGCAGCACTGATTAATGAATGACACTAACTGAGCTCAGAGGAGCAGTGCCCAAGGGCGCCAGCACATGTGGACTTCCACCCTCAGGAGTCTTGGAGCACAACGTCTGTTCTCTCTCCTACATGCCAGGTGGCCTGCTGGCTCATACCTGTGTGCTGAGGGGGCAGGAGGTCTCCCAGGATCCTTTCTGTGGCAGACTGAGTCCCCTAATTCGGTCTTAGTCAGGCTAAGACGATTATTTCTCCAGCCCAAACTGATACACAGAATGGGGGCAGATTGGCACTGAGGAGCCAGGTGAGGTCCTCTCTGGGCCACAGTTCTATGAAGCAGCAGCGAAGGGCTCCCCCCCGCCCGCCCCCGGAGTTGCCTGTAAACACAGGGCATCAGGCCTCACCTGATGGTGAGAGGGAGCCCTCACCTCCATTCCTGTTTCCATCCCCCTCCCCTCCGACGACCCCAGCTCCTCCATCAGGCCCTTGGTCTGGGCTGGGATTGCTCACAGGATCAAGGTAAAAACCTAAAAGGGCTAGGTTCAGAGCCCGGTGATGCCCTGGTTTTGTGACCTTGGGGAAGTCAGTTACTTACTCAGTTTCCTTATCTGGCAGAGCACAGATAACCCTACCTGCCTGATAAGGCTGCTGTGGGGACTTGGGGGGGCACATACATCACGTGCTCACACAGCAAGCACCTGACCACTCCCAGGTGCTACTGAGAAACTGCTCAACAACAACTCTCCACCGGAGAGTCCTCCACGTGTGTAATTCTCAACGGGGAAGATCCAAGTGCACCGTTCCAAGCACTTTAAATGGATTAATGTATTTCATCCTATGCCACACCGATGAGATGGGGATTATTATTTCCATTTTGCAATGAAAAAGCTGAAGGAACATGCTGGAGATCACACAGCCAGTAAGGGGGTGGGAGCAGAACTAGCTCTTAACCACTGGGCTATACATGAAATTAAAAAAAAAAAAAAAAAAACTCACTGCTGTGGAGTCAGATCTGACTCATGGCGACCCCTCCTTGGGTTTCCAAGGCCGTCATCACTACAGAAGTAGGTTGCCCAACCTGCTTTTGAAGGAGTGGCTGGTGGGTTTGAACCGGCAGCCTTTTGGTTAGCAATCAAATGCCTCAGGCACTACTCCACCAGAGCTCCACATGGAATGTAACCCACAGTATATCATTATCTGTAACACCATCAGTCCTGTCTCTTGCTGTGTGGCCCATGGCAAGTGGTCTGCTTTTCCTGGGCCTTGGTCTCCTCAGGTATAAACAACAGCTGGTAAGACTAGCTCCGTGGTTTTTAAACTTCTCTTTGAAAGCACAGAAACCCTTATTGGTTGCAGCAAAACCTCATGCAAATCCCAAATGTGCCAGAGAGATTTATCCCTAAAATACTTCTAGGTTTGAAACCTACAAGACGTGTGCCACCGAGTCAATTTTCACTCAGCAGCCCTGCATGACAGAGCAGAACTGCCCCATTGGGTTTTCTCGGCTGTAACATTTATGGGGTCTTCCTCCCACTGAGCCACTGGGTGGACGTGAACTGTCAACCTCTCAGTTAACAGGACTCCTACCTGTAAGACTAGATGGTCTCTAAGGGTCTCTCTAGTTCTGACAGTACCCCCCCACCCCACAACGCACATGAAGTAGTGAAGGAAAGCTATAAAGAACACTGGCTCAGGTTCTAAGAGGCCACACAGGACAAGAGTTACCTGGGGCCAAAATCCCAGATCTGCCAGATGCAGACAAGATCCTTTATCTGGCTTGGCTGGAGGCAGGACCCTGAAGGTTGGTTAGCACAGGGCTCTCCCCCAACCCTTCTCACAGAGGATCCTCCAAGCTGCTCACCTTGATTCCCAAGGCCCATGACACCCACTCACTGGGCTGGTTCATCCAGATGGGTCAGCTAGAAAGGGAGCTCCCTCTGGCCACCCGCAACCTTGGAGACCACACCCACCTCCAGGGCTTCCAAAGCCAGTCATCACCCCAGCTAAAGGCCCCCCAGCCAGCTGGATAAAGCTGTTCCTGAAGCTTCACGCCTGGGACAGAACTTTTCCCTCAATGGTATTACACCTCAATAGCCTTATATGAGGAAGAGCTCCCTGTACTGAGGCCAGACACTTAACCTCTTTAACTTTCAGTTTCTTAATCTGCCACATGAAGACAGCCTGTGACCCACCTACATCAAAGGTCACTGAGATTAAATGACAGATGCTAAGAAATCAGAAGAGCCCTTTATGGTTTGCAAAACTGTTTCATATTCTGTTTCTGATGGCATGGTGACACCAACCCAGCAAGGTAACATTGTATCCATTTTATAGATAAGGAAACAGAGCCTCATGGAGTTCAAAAGGCTCTCAAGCCAAGGTCACAAAGCCTAGCAAGCGACAGAGCCTATAGGGAAGCCAAATATGGTGGTTATGTTTGTGTGTCAACTTGGCTGGGCCTGGCTGAGTGGCTGGGCAGCTGGTGGTAGTTAATCCCCATGAGGAGACTGGCAATCAACTCCATGGTGGGCTCTACCACAGGCAGCTGGGTAGCTGCCTTTGGGTATGTGGTCTGCTTCCTGTATATAAGGAGAAGCCTTTGGGAACTGTCTCTAGCCTTTGGCACACTTGGACCCTGCATGTAGACGTGTTGTTGCTCAGCAGCCTGCTATGCTCTGCCAACCTTGGGACTTACAATGGATTCAAGTTAATGGCCTGCCGTGTGGATCCGTAACATTGGAACTGTGCCTTTTTACTTGTCAACCTTGGGGCTTCTCAGCCTCAGCAGCCAGTTGCTGTCTGAGTGAAGAAACGCCTCTAGCTCCGGTGGGCCAGGAGCAGAAGGAAGAGCTGGACTCCAAGGTTGAGGGGCTTTCATCCAGCCCCTAGAGCCTGGCACTTTGAACTTGGACTTAAAGCTCCAAATTGTAAGAATAAACTCCTGTTTGTTAAGGCCATCCCATTTGTGGTATATTCTTGTCAGAGCAGCACTAGGGAACCAGAACACCAATTCTATCTTAAGGAACTGCCAGGCTATTAAAGGAAGTTATTTCTCATGATTAACTTCCCGGATGCCAAACCCAAGCTGTGAAAAACCAAAACCCACTGCCATTGAGTCGATTCTGACTCACAGAGACCACCACTGGGTTTCTGAGGAAGTAGATTGAACAGTCTTCCTTCCGCAGAGTGGCTGTGAAAGTGCTTTGAAAAATAGCATGAAAGGCTTAAGGTAAGTGAATGACTCCTGCCTAATCTTTCGAGATTTTTGATATGCAATCTCCCCCCTCCTCCACCAGGCTCCACACCAAGCCAGCTGTTGCTCCCTTCGCTGCGATTCTGACTCTTGGAGCTCCAAGGCAGAACTCCTCCACAGCATTTTCAAGCAGATTGCCAAGTGTCCTTCAAGGAGCCTCTGGGTGGGTTTGAACCACTAACTTTTCAGCTAGTACTAGAGCACTTAAATGTTTGTGCCATCCCAGTACTTGTACACAGACAGAGCTACCTCTCAAGGTAGTTACGAGTTCTTCAGTGCCCCGGGGTCTGTACTAAGCTGCATCAAAGAGAAGGGGCAAAAGGAGCCTTGTGGGCCAGGTCATCTCTGCCCAGATGTTCCATCCGCCAAAGCCCACTTCCCCCTTCAAGGTAGGGGCGTGAGACCTTACCTGCCAAGACCTCTGTCCTCTCAAAGATGCCACTGCCCTGGGCTGTGCTGGACATGGACACCCTGTTGGACACATCCTCGTCCCCTTCAAAGGGCGAGATCCTCTTGGGGATGACCTCATTCTCCTCCAGCTCTTTGGGTTCAGTGGGGACCCGGTCCACAGGCCTTGCCCTCTCAGGAATGTGGTTATCTAGAGGCACCTGGACGGAGGGAAGGGAGAGAAGAGCTCAACACTCAGCCCAGGTTGGGGAGGGACCCAGATCAGGAGACAAACGGTGAGGAAAGGACCATCTCTCAGGCTAGCCCAGGTCCTAGAGCGGAAATCAACAACCCTTTCTCAGAAGCGATGCTGCCAAATCCTTAACCTGACTTTTCTAGTCAATCTGTCCCAAGTGGAGAATAGCAGTCTGAGCCAGGCCTCAGGGGTCCTGCTCACTGTAGGTCAGGGAACCACTCAGGAGGGCTGCTTGGCAAAACCTGCAAACTTGCTTTAAGGCAGCAAAATTGTTTTAAAGCAGCAATTTTGCTTCCAGGACTCATCAGAGATACATGTGTAAAAGATGCTTGCTACTGTATTGTAATTTTAAAATGTCAAAAAATTATCAACAATGTTTCCACCAATAAGTGGAACTGGGTGAACAATTATGCAGCCTATAAAAATGAGTAAGAACATTGAATGATGTGAAGAAAGACTCCCGAGTGCACTAACGGATGAAGTTATTTCATTAAGTGATGAAGGCAATACACTGAATTATGTATGTAATTTGATGTCAATGCTGGGAAACACCTACAAGGCACAATAAGGGGTGGGATGTTTATCCCTGGGGGGCAGTGATGGGCTATCTCTGACCTGCAGCCAGGCCCATGGTGAAAGATAAAAAAGCCTTTGGGCACAGTGAGGTCAGACAGACAGACAGACACACACACACACACACACACACACACACACACGCTCTGTCCATACAGAGGCTGTATTTTCTGCCTCCCTCAGTCAGTGTGTATGCGAGAAGCAAGGTCGCAGGGGAGGCAACAGTATGTAGCCACTTACCAAGGGATGGATGAGTTCAGGGGAGATCCTGGGGTGCTCTGAGTCATCTGCAGGGTCAGAAAGGCTATGTGTTAGTCGGCTATCCCAGGCGATGACCCCTTCAGCCATGGCTAAAGGGGGACCCCTAATTCACGACCCACCCCTGACTGCTCCAAGTCCAGTCAGTCATCATTTCCACCCCAAACCGGCCTTAGTCATCTCCTCTGTAAAATGAGGTCCTAAGAGCTGCCTCCCTGACTGTTAGGGAGAAGGAAGCTGTAAACTGGTAGCGGGGCAAGTGTTTTGTCAACGCCACACCCTTGGCTCCATAAAGTGTGGGGTGCAGTGACCAACAGCATCACCTGGGCACTGGTCAGAAATGTAGAATTTCAGGGTCTACTGAATGTGAATCAGCATTTTAACAAAATCTCCAAGGCATTAGAGTTTGAGACGCACAACTCAAAATTACAATCATTATATATGAAAATATTCACCATATGTCGGTATGTGCTTGGTACTAGCTTCAACTCAGTTCAGACCCTCCACTACTTACATACGATCATTATTATTCCCATTTTACAGATTAGGAAACTGGGGCTCAGCCGTCACACAGAGCAGAGGTTTGAACTCAGGACTGTGTGATTGCAAAACTCAAACTCTGAACGGTGACACCACCATGCACATGGGAAGACATTCTCAGCAGTTCTCTGTGGCCTCAAAGCCCTAGAAAGATCCTGACAGGGGTCTGGTCCCTGTCATCCCCACCCCCCCAACACTCCCAAAGAAGCAGAGGCTTGGTTTTTGTTCCCTACTCCCACCTCCGTACCTGGCTCCAGACTTGATGCTTTTCTTTCCAAAGGAAAAAAGACACTACCAACCCTCCTCCTCCTCTTCTCTCACCTCCCACCCACACCATGCCCTCAGGCCAAAAGGAGGAGGCTACCAGGCCAGTTCAGGCTGGTGCTCAAAACACCCAGAGCTACAAACCTACTGAATCAACAAACAACTTGGCACAGAGGGTCTCAGGATTGTTGTTGTTGTTGTTATGTGCCATCGAGTTCCCCCCGACTCATAGCGACCCCTCCTTGGGTTTCCGAGGCAGTATCACTACGGAAGTAGGATTGCCCAACCTTCCTTCCGAGGAGTGGTGGTGGGTTTGAACTGCCAGCCTTCTGGTTAGCAGTCAAGTGCTTTAGCCACTATGCTACCAGAGCTACTGAATCAACAAACAACTTGGCACAGAGGGTCTCAGGGTTAGAAAAGGTTAGTCCAGTTCCTTTTGTTTCCCTTCCTTTTGAGGGGGAGGAGGGGCACTTTTAGGAGTCTCAAGGCCCAGACAACCTACTGGGGGTGAGACCACCAACTGTCTCCAGCTGTGTCCTGACTATCACACACTCGTACCCAGATCTCCAGAGCCAGACAGCTCAAAGTCATCGGGTTCCTGTCCCGGGCCCCCCACATCCTCATCGTCTGGCAGGGCTCCAGAAAAGTATCGGCCTTCTAGGAGGTCCTGGGGGTCGATGACTTCAGTCTCTCGGATCTAGGGGTGAAACAAGGACACATCAGCCAACAGCCCCCTGGTTTCTACAACCGCTCCTATACCCAGAAAGGCAGAAGTGAAGGCATGTGGGGAGTGACCTGGGGTGGTAGAAGGCAAACCTGGGGTGGAAGGTGGCCAGGTGAGAGTCCGGAGGCCTCAACCCTGGACCCTGCCCCTAACTTGCTGTGTGACCTCAGGCTAGACTCTTTATCATTCTGGGCCAATACAAATAATAAAACCCCAAATCAAACCTATTGTTGAGTTGACTTTGAATTGAATCACAGTGACCCTATAGGACAGAGTGGAACTACCCCACAGGGTTTCCAAGGCTGGGATCTTTACAGAAGCCAACTGCCACATTTCTTCCAGGGAGCAGCTGATGGGTTCGAACCAAGGACCTTCTGGTTAGCACCCAAGTGCTCTAACCACTCTGCCACGAGGGCTCCCCAATCAACAGAAAGATGATAATCAAAATTATAACGATGATAATAATGAAAATGTCAACATGACTAAAACCAAAAGCCAGACCTACAGTCATCAAGCCGATTCTGATTCTGACTGGGCGACCCTTCAGGACAGAGTAGGACCGCCCCCACAGGGTTTCCAAGGCTGTAAATCTTTACAGTAGTCTCCCACAGAGTGGCTGGTGGGTTTGAACTGCCAACCTTTTGGTGAGCAACCAAATGCTTTAACCCCTACATCACCAAAGCTCCTAAATCTTTATAGAAGCAGACTGTCTACCTCTCACAGAGCAGCTGGTGGGTTTGAATCGCTTACCTTTTGTTTAACCACTACCCAGACCAGAGCCACCAGGCTCTATTCTTCATAACTCTGAGGGTGTTGCTAACCCCATTTACAATCGAGGAAACTGGGCATTAAATACACAACATCATTGCCATTTGGCTACACGAGTAGAAAACAGAAGAATGAACACCCAGGCTGCCTGACTCCAGAGCCACACAGACCAGCTCGAGGGCCAACACTCAACACTCAAGAGTTCTCTGCGGTACCAGCAGCTGATTCACACCTGACCCAGCAGGGACAGGGCTGCTGGCCTTGCCCCTGTCCAGCCAAGGACACCTTTCCCAGCTGAGTCAGACTAGGCTGAGACAGGCAGGGCTAGCTCACCCACCCCTCGGGGCAGCCCTACGTCAGGGTGGGGCTCAGGACTGGTGACTCAAGAGTGTCGAATTGCTGTTAGGAGCCCACTCACAGCAACCCTGTGTATAACAGGCCAATAACACCCTCAGTCACTGCTATGTCGAAGCCCATTGCTGCAGCACCGTGTCAGTCCATTCTGTGGAGACGTCGTCCTTTTTCCGTTGACCCTCTGCTTTACCAAACGTGATGTCCTTCTCCAGGGACTGGTCCCTCTTGGTAACATGTCCAAACTGCACGCGATGAAATCTCACCATCCTCACTTCTAAAGTAGCGTTCTGGCTGTACTTCTTCCAAGACAGATTTTGTTTGTTATTCTGGCAGTCCACCGTGTATTTGATACTCTTTGCCAACATCATAATTCAAATGCATCAACTGTTTGTTGTTGTTGTTGTTTTGTGCCGTTGAGTCGGACCTCACAGCGACCCCTCCTTGGTTTTCCGAGGCAGTATCACTATGGAAGTAGATTGCCCAACCTTCCTTCCAATTGTTCTTTAGCCTTCCTTACTCATTGTCCTTAGGAACTCTGGTAGCATAGTGGCTAAGGCACTTGACTGCTAACCAGAAGGCTGGCGGTTCAAACCCACCAGCCACTCCTTGGAAGGAAGATGGGGCAATCTACTTCCGTAGTGATACTGCCTCGGAAATCCAAGGAGGGGTCGCTATGAGTCAGGTCCGACTCGACGGCACATAACTACAACAACTCATTGTCCAGCTTTTACATGCGTATGAGGAGATTGAAAATACCATGATTTGGGTCAGAGACACCTTAGTCCTCAAAGAGACATCTTTGCTTTGTTAACACTTTAAAGAGTTCTTTTGCAGCAGATTTGCCCGATGCAATACGTCATGTGATTTCTTGACTACTGCTTCCACAGGCATTGATTGCAGATCCCAGTAAAATGAAATCCTTGACAACTTCAGTCTTTTCTCTGATTATCATTATGTTGCTGCTCATTAGTCCACCTGTGAGCATTTTTGTTTTATGTTGAGGTATAATCCACACTGAAGGTTGTAGTCTTTGATCTTCATCAGTAAGTGCTTCAAGTCCTCTTTACTTTCAGCAAGCAAGGCTGTGTCATCCCATATTGCAGGCTGTTAAGGAGTCTTGCAAACATCTATTCAAATAAACTTCTTTTGGGCTGGCACCTTGTGGACCTGAGTCCTTCCTCTCACAGACTACCCATTCCAGCATCCACTGGTGGTTTCTGTCTTCTACCCCATGAAAACATCATCTATTGCAGCAGAATCTGAAGTCAACCCTCACCAAGAAACCCCAAACTCACTGCCACCAAGTTGCATCTGACTCACAGTGAGGCCCACTGGGTTTCCCAGGTGGTAAATCTTTAAAGAAGCAGGTTGCCCCATCTTCCTTCCAGGGGGCAGCTGGTGGGTTTGAACTCCCAACCTTCTGGTTAGCAGGCACTGCATGGCTGAGGGTGGCAAAGAAATCTCCCAGAGTCCCGCAGCCCATCAGCCCCATAGGCTACTCTGCTTCCATCTCCTAGTTAGCTGAGTGGAAAATAAAGCTCCTTCAATACTTGGTGGGGGGACAGAAAGCAGAATTCAAATATTAAAGTACCTACTATTTGTCAGAAGACGTGGGGCTTTTGATTCACCTCAGTACACACCCACACACACCCCTCTGGAAGACATTCTCATCTTCCACCCCTGACTCCTTAAGTGTGGGGAGTGGAGGCTGTTAGAACCACAGCATACCAGCTGCTGAGACCCTGGCAAAATAGCTGGTCTGTCCACATTTCACAGAACTTGGATGAACTGGAGCCCCAAACGAGGCAGTGACACGCATGTCCAAGATCACACAGCAAGTTAGCCACATCGCTAATGTATAAAGGAGCCTGGGTATCCGATCCTAAATCAAGGTTATGATCGCAAAAGAGGCCCAGGAAGGCCACTTCCAGGCCAGGCTCTTCCTGCGGTACTTCACCCCTGGCTTCCGGGGAGAGGGGGCGGAACCTGCCTGTCGCGCCCTCTCCAACCTCCAAGGGCAACACGCTGGATTCCCGGAAGGCTGGATTCCCGGAAGGACGCCCGGAAGGCAGTGGGCAGATGCCCCCCCTGCCCCCGGGGCGGAGGAATCTGCTGAATGCTTGGCACCCGTGGGGGTGGGGAGCCAGAAGGGGTTAAGGGCCAGTTAGGGATGACTTCACGACTCCGGAATCAGGAGCTGTAGAGCTGCTGGCGCTGGAATTCCGGCCCTCCCGCACACAGACCGTGCCTGCGGCTTTGGTTTGTGCAATCTGCCTTACCTAGGGCGGGGTCTCTAGGCTCCGACCCCCGCTTCTGCTGCGCATTCCCTCAGGCCTAGAACCTACAACTGCGGTTCCTCTGTGGTTTACCAAGCTAGCGCTAAGTAGGAACCCTTGATAGCCCGTTTTGTAGAGATGGAGTGTGACCTGGTGGCGCAATGGTTAAGTGCTCGGCTGCTAACCAAAAAGGCTGGTGGTTTGAACCTACTGAGCAGCTCCATGCAAGAAAGATCTGGCGAGCTACTCCTTTAAAGATTACAGCCTGGAAAATCCTATGGGGCAGTTCTACCATCTCATTGGATCGCTATGAGCCTCGACAGGCTCAAAGGCACTTAACCACAACAATGCAGAGGTGCAAAGGCCAGGAGGAGCTCAGAAAGGTCAAGTCACTTGTCCAAGGTCACACAGAAAGGAGATAATGGCCCTGCCCACCAGGAACCCAAGCAGATAGCAAATCTTTCCTCTGCAGCATGGCTGGGAGGGTTTGAACCGCTAACCTTTAGTCATTGAGCATGAACCTAGGGACCTCCTAAAAGGCCTCCCTCAGAGGAGGCATCATGTGAGCCTGGTCTTCCCTTTCACAGCAAGTCAGGAGGCTTGGAAGAAGCTGGAGGCGATGCTGAAGGGAGAACACAGGAAATTAAGTCCTCCCGGAGCTCCAGGGGCACCCTCTCTGCCCCTGACCCCTGACGAGAGAGGAAACTCTGAAGTAGGAGCCCTTTTAGACTACGCCAGCCAGACAGGGCCAAGCCCCATGGAATTGTGGGTACTCGTTCCTCTTTTTGTAAGGGGTGGGGGTGGGGAAGAGGCGCCAATAGCCCTCCCCTCCCCCACCCTCTTTAGACAAGGCCCATTCAGTCTGGGGTGGCTTTGAAGAATCAGGCCACCCAGCAGCCAGACCCAGTCCTGACCAGAGAGGGACCCCACCCTGCTCCTGGCTAAGGATGTGGTCTGTTCTCAGCTCACCCCACCCTGCCCAGGCACGTGTGTTCACATGTGTGCATGCCCACGCATCCTCTCTGGGCCCTCAGGTCCCCGCATCTTTGTCCTCTGCACAGACACACAACAGAAATCATGAGCTGAATAAGGCAGTGGGCTTTGTTCAGACCCTGCTGGCCCCCATGGCTACAGAGCACCTGGAACCGGTGCCTAGAGGGTTAGCAATTCTTCCTGAACCAGAAAGAAGAAGGAGTAGCTGTTGTTGTGTTCCACAGGGACTGACACCTGCCAAAAGAAGGTAACTGAGGCCACAGAGCCCAACGGGCTCATTTTATAACAGCAGACACCCAATGGCTGGCAGCAAAGCTGGACTTGGGACCCAGGCCTGCTGGCTCCCAGGCCAGACCTGTCTCTCTGCTCCCCGCAAGGGTCCTGACTGCCGCTAAGGGTCTTGACTCTAGACATACTCCCCATCCATCAGTCCTTAGGTTATAGGAATGGACGTGGAAGGAGGATGTCGACCCTATCCTACTCAAAGAGTCGTAAGCTGTGTCACCCCAGGAGAGTATGGAGGTTGGGGTGACCAATACCCAGTATTTGTATATGCTGGGTCCTTTCTCAACATGAGCTCAC